CACTGGGTATGAGATCGGGGCTGTGAGAGGGGTATCTTAAAACATCCTAACCAAATGAAGTCAACAGCTCTTGTGTTACATGAGCAGTGTGCGGACCCCCATTGTTATGAAGGAAACACACTCCTGCCATTAGCATCCCACAACGTTTGTTTTGGATGGCTCTGCGAAGTTTCTTCATGGTCTCACAATATATTCCATACAAATTTTCCCACATGCTGTCTTGACATTATGTCTTTTCCATAAACTGAAACGATTTTGCGATGAATTGCAGTGGTGTTCATGCCCTAAGCATTTAGGTAGCATATTACAGTGCAAACTTTGCACTTGGAGGTAAACAGAACGGGGACACTCATCTCTAACCTTCACCACAACGCCAGTTGATGAGTTACTGATAACTGTCACTGCTTCTTTGCTTCTGCTGGCTTCCCACTACATGGAAGTGATACCAACTTCCCACACAAAAGTCCCTGCGAGAGATATGTGCCTTGTAACCTTACTTTTCAGATAACCCTTGTATTTAAATGCGTCTTTGCTGGTTTGCCATATATTTAAGGTTGTCAGATGTGATCCACGATAGTGCTCCTGCATGTTTCGTTCTTAACCTATCTTCAAAGCTGCAGCAAATGGAACAAAGGTTCTCAAACTGCCCTATGCCATGGATCATAAGAGAAGAACAGTTTGGGCAGCCCTAATCCACAATTCCAAAATACTCCAACATGGGGACCGAGATAGTGAAACCTTTGCTTCCTTGTGATTCAGTACGCACAACTTTGCTTAATGCACGAACTTATTATTATTATTATTATTATTATTAATAATAATAATAATAATAATAAACCTTTATTTGTACCCCGCTACCATCTCCCGAAGGACTCGGTGCGGCTTACAAGAGGCCGAGCCCAAATACAACAATAAAACAACAACAGCAATACAGCAAAATAAATCAAAGCAAGGCAAAGCAATAACATTAACACACAATGACGCAATTAAAAACTGGCAGGGCCAAATGTAATAATTAAAATTAAAAAGTGCTGGGCATGACCAGGAGAAAAGGGTAGATGTTTGGAGAGGGACGGGTTTGCAGATATCCTGAATCTCTGATAAAGTGTGTTGGGGGCAAAATGCTTGGAGTTTCCTTATTCTGGGAAGGCACACTAGAACAACCATGTTTTCAAGCTCCTCCTAAAAATTGTATTTGTATATCAAATTACTTTCAGACTGCACATATAAGATGCATATGAAACATAGATGATTTTAGAGTGTAGTTTTGGGTCTCATCTCTAAGACATCTCATTATGTACAATAATAAAAAGGCAGATATTCCAAAATCTGAAATTCTAAACACTTCTGGTCCCAATCATTTTGGATAAAGGACACTCAACCTATACATGCTTGTAAGTCTGCGTGAAACCAGAGCCTTTCAATAGAGAGCATTTCTCATTTTCCCTTTTTCCCTTTTAACTTAACTCCAAGAGAGAGGTCATTTTACACTCTTTATCCTGTGCAAAATGAAGACAATTTTATCATGACAGGATGCCTGTAACCTTGTTGTGTAGTGCCATTACATTCACTATCTAATGGTAGGCCAATATATATGTAAACCCTATTGATTCAATGACTCTACTCTTAAGATCACAGCAATTCCAATTGATTGGATGGCTCTTATCTCACAGTACAGTCAATTAATTCAATGGATCTATTCTAACAATAAAGTAAATCCAGTTGTTCCAATGGTTCTATTGTAGTTAGAACGAATGATAAAATTTAGATTAATATCAGCAACAATAATGTGGCAACTGTTTGAAAGAAAATGCATATTTGTATTGGAAATATTTTGACTGTTGTCCTATTTAAGAAATTCCCATTTGTACCAACTAGGAACATTTTTTGTCAAATTAGAGGCTTGCGTAAGTAATTATATAAAATGATATGTTTATTTACAGCCTGAAGTCACATTTAACTTATTTTCTGTGATGCAGGTTTGTTTAAAAAGGGAAGGGGGGGGGGTCTACTTCTTTCATTATGTCAGTCTCTAATTTACTGTGCCAGCTAGATGAATGTACTATTAATGTTTAAAAGACGTCTTGTTCTCTGTGGATAATAAAATTGCCCCTTATTATTCCGATGCCTTTACATATGCCTGCTGTGCTTATATGCCGTGTTGTGTACGTGGGGGCACAGAGGGACTCTTGGATGTATTCCATTGGCATAGACGAGAGTACCCCCCCTTTCTAGTTTGGATAATGAGCCTTCTTTAGCTGAGAAGAATAGTGAATAAAATTGATTTCTTTGTGGCTTTACTGAGGTGGAGGTGGGGTTCTAGAATTTAGAAATAAATAAACCTATGAATGAATGTTTTTAGCTGAATGAGCCATTTGATTATGTATGCAGTCATAATTACGGCTTCTAAAAGGAAGACCACCTAATCCCAAACCTTCATTAATGAGATCCGAAATTCACTACAGTAGGGAATCTGGATTTGTACACTTAGGCTTTGCCTATTTATCTGAATATAAGCGCCACTAAATACTGTAGGACAAGATGGTAGCCAGCCTTTCTCTTGAACACAGGAGCCATTCAACCAAAACACTTGTGTTTCATGAGGATACGAGCTTAGTTTATTGGCCCTTATCCAACTCATTCCTTAATTCAAGGACCAGTTAAGGACTTGAATAGTGACATCAGATCATCACATCAAGGGGACAGCGCTGCTTGCCATTTGTGTATTGATTATACTTGGTGTATTGATAATACTCCCAGAGATTCATGTAGATAGTAAATGATATTAGGAAGAAGATAGTAGCCTGTGAAACATGTATTTTCAAAAGGCAAGTGGTAAAATAATAGGTTACTAATGTTAACCTTCTAAAATCAACTCCATAGATGGGACTGGAACCATCATTTACTTTCCATAACAGATCAAAAAACAAAACTGTGGTCAGTGTTACAAGAATAAATGAGATTGGATGAGATTAACAGATTGGCCAGGATTTAATTTTGTCTGTGTTTTTCTTGACAACGATCATCAATTAGGCCATCCTTGGCCTATTCAGTCCAAGACTTTGATTGAATCAATATTTTTCCAAAATCTTTGTTTACATCTGGCCTGCATCTATCCTCTCAAGAACAAGAGGTCTACTCATTTGCCCAAAATTTGTACATAAAGCTTTAGCTTTATGTACAAATCTACCCATGGAGGTCAATATGAAACTATTAATCCATCAAGGGTCTATGTAGAAACCTGACTTAGGGTGCTTCTAAGGTAAAGGTAAAGGTAGTCCCCTGACATTAAGTCCAGTCATGTCTGACTGTGGGGTGTGGTGCTCATCTCCATTTCTAAACCGAAGAGCCAGTGTTGTCCATAGACACCTCCAAGGTCATGTGGCCGGCATGACTGCATGGAGCGCCGTTACCTTCCCGCCGGAGCGGTACCTATTGATCTACTCACATTTGCATGTTTTCAAACTGCTAGGTTGGCAGAAGCTAGGGCTGACAGCGGAAGCTCACGCCGCTCCCCGGAATCGAACCTGCAACCTTTCAATCAACAAGCTCAGCAGCTCAGTGCTTTAACCCACTGGTGCTTCTAGACAGGAGTAAAACTGAAATGGGTTTTTAAAACCCTCTTTGCTGTGTGTTTTAGTCCCCACAGCACCCTCAAAACCTGGCCTTTTCAAGGAAGGGTGGCTATATGCCATCACAATTACTATCAGGATGGCATTCAGCCAACCCAAAGCCCCTCAAAATTACCCTTTAAAATAAAAGAAAACGTACAAATCTTTCATTATGTTCCTCCTTGCGCCCTCCTAGCATGAAAAAATGATGCACCAGGAAACGGTGCATCATCCACCCCCCCCCCCCCGGTTTCCTGGCACATCATTTCCTTGCGCCAGGAGGTCACGAGGAGGCGCTTAATGGCGTCCACGTAAGTTTCCTTTTATTTCAAGGGGTAATTTTGGTGTTTGGGGAGAGGGAGTTTGTGCCCTCTTGATTTTTCAGGCTCCTGGGGTCCAGAACTCTAAGAAGGTTGTGTAGATTGGGCCCGGGGTTCGCATGATGTGATTCCCAGGCCCAATCCACACAGGGCTTACACCTGGCAAGATCTGGATCTTACCAGGTATTTAATTAATTTGGTTTTACCGGAGGCGTCGTTTGGATGCTTCCAGTAAAACTGAGATATGTCTGGATGGGCGCTCCCTTACAATCAAGATTTAGTTCTTGATTCAGTTCTCTTCTTAGAGGGCATCTATCCTGTAGGGTGAATGCAGTTTCACTGCCATGACTCAATAGTATAGACTCATAGAAATTTGCTTTTACAAGGTCAGTGTTGCTGCTTCCCCACATTAGAAATCCCAGGATTCCATAGCACCAAGTTATGGCAATTAAGATGTGTTGAGCTGCATTACTTCTACAGTGTAGGTACACTTATAGACTGTTGGTTGTACTTGGATAGGTCTTTTTAATTATTTTAATATACTCTTCCTTCTGAGTAGAACCTGAGCATTATGTCCTTCTAGCAGCTAGGAAGGTGCTCTAACACCTTGTCTGCTATATCTAAAGAGAGTTGTAGGATGATGGAGGGGATTGAGGGAGTGAGGTGTGGTTTGAAATATGGTTGAAGTCCAACAGTATCTCTTAAGCTGATCCATTTGTTCATGAGCAGTGGAGTTTTCTTTGGAAACTAAGTTTTCCTTATCTGAATGGGTTTTGTTAAATCTTGGGTCACTCAGGTATCTTATAGAACCAAGACAGAGATGGAAGCATCTGGCAAGTTACAGTAGACCTATGTTGCTTATCCAGCTTACAGCATCTTGGATTGCTTCATTCTTTGGAGCTATATTGGTGCAAGTGATATCTTTATGTAACATGCAAGGACTTGTCTCCTGGTGACTTAATATAGCCCCAACTGGGAGGATTAAGTCTAAATGTATGTAACTAAATCTACTGTTAAACCAGTTCTAGTCTTCAATTAAACAAAATCATTTTCTCCTTCTTTCTTACAGGCCTCATAACCACAACTTCAAGGAAATTGGATCGTGAACAGCAGGCAGAACATTTTCTTGAGGTAAGGTGAGATAGGAATGTGCTGTAAAACCGATGATCAGGCTTAGCATGTGGGTTCCACTTTGAGGCTTTACTACAACCCCATGATTATGTGTTAAACAGCGTTCTCCATCCACCATTCCCTTGGACGCACTGATTCCTTCTGTTAGTCTTGAACTGTAGGTCTCATTTCATCTTCAAAAATGGATTGAATTCTACAAAGATGGTAAAATTGACTAGCCTTGAAAAATACTGTGAGATTTCTTCATTCTCCCCTCCTTTTCTATATTTTGGCTAATGATAATGCAGCCACAAACCATCATGGTATATACAAAGCATAGCTTCTTCACTTTGGGTGTAATGGTAAACATATTTTTACAAAGTTCTGCTACAACTGGAAAGTTACTTTTTTGGATTATGGTCCCAAGTACCACACTAACAACCTGTTAGTAGATGATTTGGGACACTGTGGTCCACAAAGATAAGTGATCCAGTTCTGATAACCCAGTTCATCAAACCAGAAGTATTCCGCAGCAGCATTCCTTTTGGGCAGGATTCAATTCTCTCCCAACACAGTAGTGGAAGCTTAATAGGAAGGAAAGGAAGAGAAATCTCATTGTCATAGTCCGTTTGACTGGGGAATATTTATTTGAAACATTTCTATTCCACCCTTCTCATCCCAAAGGAGACTCAGGGCGGAGCCCAGCATATATACAGCATGCATTCCACGCCAGAACATAAAATAACTATAAATATAGACAAGCACTAAAACCAATTACATCTACAGTAGAGTCTCACTTATGCAACATAAAAGGGCTGGCAGAACGTTGGATAAGCGAAAATGTTGGATAATAGGGAGGGATCAAGGAAAAGCATACTTACTTACTTAGGCAATTCCTCGTTGTCTGAGTAGGATTGTCTTCCAAGATCGGTGTACTGGCGGTGAGTCCGTAGGTGACTGTGGAGCCCTATTTTTGATCTGCATGTTATCCCACAGTGGGAGCACCAGTTTCCAGGTGGAAGGCGGTCCCGGTCGGGGTTGGCTTGACACGCCTTCCTCTTGGCACGGTTCTCTTTCTCACCCTTCATTCATGCCTCATCAAATTCTACAGCACTGCTGGCCACATCTGACATCCAGCTGGAGCACTAAAAGGCCAGGGCTTCCCAGTTCTCAGTGTCCATGCCAGAGTTTTTAAGGTTGGCTTTGAGCCCATCTTTAAATCTCTTTTCCTGCCCACCAACTTTCCGTTTTCTGTTCTTGAGTTCGGAGTAGAGCAACTGCTTTGGGAGACGGTGGTTGGGCATCCAGACAACATGGCCGGTCCAGCGGAGTTGATGGCAGAGGAGCATCGCTTCAGTGCTGGTGGTCTTTGCTTCTTCCAGCAAGCTGACATAGGAAAAGCCTATTAAACATCAAATTACGTTATGATTTTACAAAATAAGCACCAAAATATCATGTTTTACAATAAATTGACAGAAAAAGCAGTTCAATACATGGTAACGTTATGTGATAATTGCTGTATTTATGAATTTAGCACCAAAACATTGCAATGTATTGAAACAGCTGTGGATCCAGGAGGGATGCAGACCGCATTGCATAATACAGAATGTTGGGTGAGTGAAGGTTGGAGAAGCGAGACTCTACTGTACTTAGAAATCAGTTGTTTAAAACCATCTCAAAACACTATTCTGGCTGAAGAAAAATAGTCTTAAGAAGGGATGGGTTAGCATACTGCTGCTTCAAAATCTTCCAGATTATGGACAGGCAGATTCAGAGAATAGAGGACCACATTGGCCTCCCTCACCTCTCATCCCCACACTTGGAACCCATTAACCCATTTGACAGCATGTTTCTCCATAATAAAAACAGACTGTTGACAGTTTAGCAATGGGTTGTCTGAAGGGGAAGAGTTTCTTTTATGACACTTTCAGAGCATTTTGTGAACTGTTTGACTCTTAATGTGGTCAATTAACCTCCTGAGGGAACCATTAATTGCCCATATATAACCACAGTCTTCCCCATAGAACCACTTTAGCCTTCTAGGATTATTTCATACTCTTTCTCCAGTTAGAGTCTGATTGGCATGAAAGCAGAATAAAATTGGCTCCCCATGAAAAAGTATCTGACTGGAGAATGAACTAAAAGCTTCCGTTTTCCGCTGCCATAGTGTGTACATGGATAGAGAGACGGGACAGTGGCATTGATGGGGCCCCATGAGTATGGAAGACTTTTAATTATTTCTTGAAATAAGCCTGCCCTCATTTCCTCTAAATTTGATGATGACATAATATACTAAGAGATTTTTTTTTAGCCTATTCATAACAATCAGCATGAAGCCTGAATAGAGCAAAAGAGGTGGAACTCTACGAGCAAAATAGGAGGCTGTGTGTAAAAGCTGAATTTACAGGCAACCAAGTTAGTATCACAGTTCACTAACACGACACTTTGATTGAGTTTTTCACCACCACCTCATGAGATTCGGGGCCCTTTCACCCAGCCCTATATCCCAGAATATCAAGGCAGAAAATCCCACATTACCTGAATTTCATAGGGGTTTCTTAGGCAAGGGATACTCAAAGATAGTTTTTACCAGTTTCTTCCTCTGAAATAGAATCTATAAGGTAAAGGTAAAGGTTTCCCTTGACATTAAGTCTAGTCGTGTCCAACTCTGGGGGGTGCTGCTCATCTTCATTTCTAAGCCAAAGAGCCGGCATTGTCTGTAGGCGCCTCCAAGGTCATGTGGCCAGCATGACTGCATGGAGCATGTGTGACCTTCTTGCCGAAGCAGTACCTATTGATCCACTCACATTTGCATGTTTTCAAACTGCTGGGTTGGTAGAAGCTGGGGCTAACAGCGGGAGGTCACCCCGTTCCCTGGATTCGAACTGCCAACCGTTCGGTCAGCAAGTTCAGCAGCTCTGCGGTTTATTGTTTTATTGTTTTTATATGGTTTATATTATATGTAATGTTTTAAACTGTATTTTATGTTGTTTGGGGGCATTGACTGCCGACTGTAAACCACCTCGAGTCTCCTCCAGGTTGAGAGGGACAGTATACAAATATAGTAAATAAATAAATAAATAACCCGCTGCATCACCAGGGGGTTTGTTGGTAGTTTTTCATTCAAGTTCTAACCAGGGCTGATTCTCCTTAGCTTCCAAGATCAGACACAATTCAATGCCCTTGGGCTCTTTAGTCCTGCTTTCAAGATAGGTTGACAATAATTACTAGGCTTTAAAATATTTTCCTATTTAGGTTAGATATATTTTGGTCAGGCCCGTAGCCAGGATTTTGATTCGGGGTGGGCTGAGTTTGATTGGGGGGGGGGGCTGAGTCTGAGTGAAAGAGGGTCTACCCTAGCAAACGTTTTGTATCGTTACCCCAATACCCCCATGCATATGGGATATATTGAGTATGGTGATCAGATCATGATATGAATAAACATAACAGTTTAAATAATGTACCAGTAAGGCTTCTCGGACCACCATGAATTTCGGGGGGGGGGGGGGCTGAAGCCCCTCAACCACCCCCCCCCCCCCGACTAGATGCCTGATTTTGGTAATCAGTTAAAATATATTACGGACACAATTCCATCAATTTGACTCAGAAAAAGTCTTCCAGTAATGGGTATTGTTGGAAAACATACAAATGTTCACAGATACTATTGAATGTTATAAATTGACTCATGTTTGCTGGAATATATTACATCAAGTTATTCTTGATTCACATTATTTTTCCAATAAACTTAAGCAACACACTCCAAAGGGAAATCTCTCTTTCTCTGTATATTGTTGTTGTTAATTACCATTAAAATTGGCTCCAGCCTGTGGCAAACCTATGAACAAGAAACATAAGACACTGTGTCTTCAACAGCCCTGCTCAGGTCTTGGAAGCTCAAGTCTGTATCTGCCTTGATTAGGTCTATCCATTGGTGATATATTCTCGGCCTTTTGGCTCCTGCATCACATATCAAAGCATAATTAACTTTGTAAGTGACTCTTGTTGTCTTATGGTATGCCCAAAGAACAATAGCCTCAGTTTGGAATTTTGTATACTATAGAGACTTCAAGCTTGATTTACTCCATGACAGTGGTTCTCAACCTGTGGGTCTCCAGATGTTTTGACCTTCAACTCCCAAACATTGCCAAAGATAGAAAGTAGGTTTCCATTTCTGAGGTAGAATTTGAGCCCTGGTTTCCTGGACTTCTAGTCTGGCACTCAAATAATTGCATCATGTTGGTACCTGCAAGTGGAATCAACAGAGTGTATCTACATGCACATTTAGTATTCAGCAACTGATTCAATGGGTCTACACTAGCAGGGACTATCTAATACAGTGGTTCTCTATCTATGAGTCCCCAGATGTTTTGGCCTTCAACTCCCAGAAATCCTAACAGATGGTAAACTGGCTAGGATTTCTGGGAATTGTAGGACAGATGTAGATTCAATAACTTGAATCAAGAATAACTTGATATATTATATTCCAGCAAACACAAGTCAGTTTATAACATTCAAGAATATTCGTGAACATTTATGTTTTCCAACAATACCCATTACTGGAAGTCTTTTTCTGAATCAAATTGATGGAATTGTGTCCGTAATATATTTTAACTGATTATCAAAATATATCTAACCACTGCTTTATGACATTGCTGCTTTAGAGTGGTGATCCATGGATTGGTGTCAAGCCCTGAGCCATCCATCATCTTTCAGTCTTTGGGAAGTTTCCAGAGGGAAAAAAGAAAGAAAAAAGAAACAATCCAATGGTGACAAATTTTGTCCTGGCCCCTGGGATATTGGAAAAGAATAATCACTGGTCCCTCACATCAGTCCAAGAAGAATTGCTCAGGGATTCATTTATCCATTTTTGGCAACTATAGACATCCAGCACTACATTTCAAAAGATTGATTAGCTTCTTCTCACTTTCTTCACTTTATGGCCCATATCTCTATTTATATAAACCAATAATCCTTTGAAGACTGGTATACAAGCCGACTGATTCTCCTAGTACTCGATAGCC